ATGTATTGGAGGTCACCAAATACGCCGCGATATAGAGTGGAATTAGCTGGAGGGACACCATCATGAAGAGTGAGAGATGTTGTGCTAGACATAGGTGCGTCACATTTCTTGGCACCTACCATTTTGGTGCAAGAAAAAAGGTCCCTAATGTATTTATGTTGACTAAGGAACATACTAGACGATGATTGAATGACCTTGTTTCCAAGTAGCTAAGAGACCCTAATTTTTTTAAAAAAAATCTAAAATCACATAAAGAAGGCATCAATAAAATGTGATACAACGTAATTATCATTTTCGGCGACAAAGAGGCGTCAACATAGANTGATTTGGGGTTCGGACATGGTAGTGATAGTTTGAGGGGATAAGACGTGCCATCAAAAAATCGCATGAGATTAAGATCATGGAAAAGAGAGGTGAATTGCACTGGCTATGAAAAGTAGTTAGAAGAGGTGACATAGAGAGGGAGTTCAGTGCTAGCATTGATTTGCTCTAGATTATTAGAGGTAGAGTCTATTTTGGATAACAATGGTGACAATGTTTTCTGTTACTAGCCTGTATCAGACCCGCCACCTCACCCGCCACGTTTCGGTAGAGGTTGTCCACACCACGCCACACGCTAACCGAGGTGATTGCACATGGGACGAGTTGATTGTACATGAGGAGCGAACTGTACACGCATCAGCGAAGGAACCGGACTCATCCGCAATTACACCGTGGATGCAAAGGCCCGCACTCCGCTTCTGCAACGCTACAACGCCTCTCCTGCCCCGTCTCGCCCATCAAGGATATAGTACAAAGATCTTTCCAAAGTCAAATTCCTGACTGATGGGACGTGTGAAAGGACCTAAACGGTCAATTCAGCTGCCTTTGTCAGAGATATTCAATGCCCGTCAACCTATGGAGGGACAGATTAACACCTGGGATAGGATGAGCCCTAAAGATCTGGTGATACGTGCCTCCTCATCCAACGGTTCTCCTTTTCCCATCCTTAGTATAAATATCCCCCGTTGTGCCAGAAAGGGGATTGGATCAAGATTTTCTCCTACTACATTGCAAACTTAAGTATTATCTTCTCCCTTAAATATTGGCATTTTTATCACTATACACTTTATCAACCACTTCTCGGCGAGTGTTCTACTGCCGGCGAATATTTCCTGGTTGAACCATAACTGACTTGACCCTCGGAGTGCCCGCGGCCGCTCCCCACCCCTTCGGGAAAGGCCACAGGTGACTAATGGCGTGCTACGTGTGTAGGGAAGAGCTGACTCGAAGACTTATTCTGTTGGCCACGTGTCGGAGCCATTTTTTGAGGTTAACAGATTGGCGCCGTCTGTGGGAAACTTATTTTAACCACGAGTCTTCCCACCAAAAAGCTGTTCGTATATCCGGTTGATAGTCTCCCTTGAAAAAGGGATTGGTTCCTGAAAAAGGATCATCCATACGTTAAGCTTTGCTATACTTGCCACTTCGGATCATGAGCTCCAGCGACGAAGAGGCGAATGCAAGGAGAACAAGGGATGTCTCTGAAGAAGAGGTTATCCGAACGAATGTTACGCAGCAACGGCCTCACCACCGCTATCATAGAGGTGGTAGAACTGCCGCGCATTTAACTGCCGAAGGCCCACATGGCTGCCAATAGAGGACCGTTGTAGCCCAGAATGCAGCCATGTAAGAGCTCTTCATACAGGTG